TTAAAGAGAAGAGAAAGAAAACCCGAGGGGCCTGCAAGGTGATGTGCCCCTGCCTGACCACCTGAGCTCGGTCCCTGAAACCCAGCTCACAAAGTTTTCCTCTTACCTCCACATGTGCATAATGGTGCTTGTACATACACGCATGATAATAAATTTTAAGAATTTAAAAAGCGAACCTGGAAACAAGGCGGCGGCAGCTGTGGGTTCCTGTGACAGCCGAGGCACAGACTTGTTACTTCTTTTCAATAACTGCACTTGTCACCGTGCTGTCATGTCAGCCTTGTCACCGGCATGCTGGCCTGCATGCCCTCCCACACCGAGCCTCATTCCAGCCATCTTCCAGCCAGCCACCAAGATTGCCGTCCAGAAGATACCCTCTCCAGGATCGTCTTTCCCACAGCACATTCTAACTCACCCGCTGATAACAGTTAATACACACTTAGACCGTGAGGTGTGGCTCAGTGGTAGAGTGCTTCCCTCTCCTGCACAAGGCTCTGGGTTCAATGTCCAGTATTGGGGGGTGCACTTCTGGTAAGCAGCCGAGGAAAGAAAGCCGAGTGAAATGGGCCTCTTTCCCTAGATGGTATTCATGTCCCAAAACAACAGGAAAATAGTTTCAGAAAGCAGCCTTTCTCTCTCCGTTTGGTTTCTTCTTGGTATCCTGACCCCGTGTCCCTTCCCACCCACCATGTGCTTCTCCACAGGCCAGTCACTGTGGAGTGGCTGCAGTGCTGGGTGACGGACTGTTGACTGACTTACTCTTCATAGACTCTCAGGAAGCCCTCCGGGTCTAATCCGAATGTTTACAGGTGATCATGGCCTGGCCTTTAATCCAGAAGATTATGTCCTAGGATTGTCTCCAGGCTAAAACAACGCATTGTGGGTCACACTCTCTTCACAGTCTACTTCTAGGCCCTCCCTTAGTCCAGTGGGCCATCCCTCGTCTCAGGGTTGGGGGGCTCTATCAGTTTGAATCCTAGTGCCTACTTCAGGTGGCTCACAAATGCCTGTAACTTTAGCTCTAGGGAGCCGACACCCACTTCTGGCCTCTGTGGGTACCTGTGCAAGCATGTATACACACACATACATGCATATACATACTCAAAAAAAATTTTTAAAGTCTTTTTAAAAATAGTTCTAGGGTTGTTTGTCCACCCTACTTCCTGAGATGCAGCCTTCCTGGGAAATTCTATTTTCCCTAAGAAGTGAAGGTTTAAAGGGTATTGATCTTAAAAAGGACTGAGCCATAGATATCCTGAAAAAAGCAAATGGGAATGATGCCCATCACTGGAAAACGTGGTCTCACACCTTGCACTCATGATGCTGGCTTCACTCTGAGGGTACCTGAACAGGTGACCTTCGGGGATGGTCTGGTGGGCATGGACACGCGCTGCTCCCAGTTGGCAGCTGGAATCAGCTCATTCCTAGAAAGGGAGAAAGGAGAGCAACAGCTGGCAGAGCCTTCACTTTCTTATCTTCCAAAGAGGCCATTGTGATGGCACAGTCATTTGAACTGAAATGAAAAAATTTAAGGGCGTTTGGGTAGAAAATCATGGGGTGAATTTATCTGAAAGCCAACATTTTCTGAAGCAACACATGGAAAATAATATTGTGACATACCGTAAAGATTGAGCCTTCCTCCAGACCACCTCGTCCATCCATCACTCTTTCAGTCCGTTGGTTTTTTTTTTTCTTTTGCATGGGCTATGCTATTATCTTTGGTTGTTGTGATTAAAAGTATTTAAGGCATTCTTTTACATATATTTATTTGAGTCTTTCTATATAAAAATAGTGTACTGGTCAGATGTATAAACACTTCTGAATGTAAACTGGAGTTGCAGAGCACCTAGGGAAGTGGCATGGACCCCTCTCCAGTCGTACTTTCAACACCTCTGGAGAGTTGCCCTGGGGACAGCCTGTGAACTGAGAATGCCTAGTTCGGTCTAGTTCTAAATTAACCTCTCTCAAAAAAAAAAAAATGGTCGGTGGTGGTGCATGCCCTTAAATTCCAGCATTCGGGAGGCAGAGACAGGCAAATCTCTGTGAGTTCGAGGCCAGCCTGATCTACAAGAGCTAGTTCCAGGACAGGTTCCAAAGCTACAGAGAAACCCTGTCCTGAAAAACAAAAAAACAAACAAAAAAATTCTCATGGGTGCAGACATTGGGTTTCAGCTGCCGATGTGTTCAGGGTTCATGTTTCTTTTCACTGAGTGCCAAAGCCAGTCTTTGAGTTGGCGTGTGTTGTCTCCTAACACAGCTGATATATGTGAGCTTTCTTCCATTTATCAGGAAAGAAGGATTCTGTCTGGACCAGTTGTGCAGTGCTAGGCTAGCAGCTTCCACCCATGAGAGTGAACTCAGGACTGTTGCTGTAGCTAGCATTAGAAAATACCCCCCAGTAGGCAGAGACCTGGCCACTCCGTGACAGGCCCTAGGGGAGGAGCTTAGCCAATTCTGACGGTGTTTAACTTAAGGAAATTTACTTTTTGTGCCATGGTGGCTTGGCGGTGTTGCCATTGGAACAGATCTCACCAGTGGAAGAACTAGCAATGCTGCTTGCTTGTTCCTGCACAGCCAAGGGTTGCCCAAGTGCAACCTCAGCTTGCTCAGAACTTTCTGTATGTGAAATTAGCTTACAGCATCTCATCCTTTCTTGATACTGTGTTAGTTACCTTTTAATTGCTGTGATAAAATATCGTAACCAAGACACTGAGAGAAAGAAGAGTTAATTTGGGCTTGTGATTCCAAAGGGATCATGGCAGCAGGAAGCTGAGAGCTCACATCTTCAAACCATAGGCATGGAGCAGAGAGAACAAACTGGTGCAAGACTAGTCTACCCCCTAGTGATGTGCTTTTTTTCAAGAAGAACACACCTTCTAAACCTCCAAGCAGTGCTACTAACTGGAGATCAAATGTCCAAATATCAGAGCCGATGAGGGACATTCTCATTTAAACTACTAAATTCCACTCCCTGGCCCTTAGAGACTTGTTGCCATATGATGATACAAAACGTATTTAGTCCAACTTCAGAAGTTCTCGTAGTCTTTCATAAGGCCCAATATCTCTTCAGAGACTGTAGGCAATCTCTTAATTGTAGCCCCCTGTAAAACCAAGACAAGCTACATATTTCTAATATATAATGGCACAGAAGAGATACCACCATTCCAGGAGAAAGGAATGGCAGAGGCACAGTTAAAAAATACTGAACCGAAACGAGACTGAAACCATCAGAGCAAATGCTGAATCCTCTAACTCTCATGTCCATGCTTGGGGTTTTCATTTCAAAGGACTGGGATGGCTTTGCTCCTGCGGCTTCGCTGCCTGTGATGGATGTCTCTCCCTTAGGCTGATTCTGCTCCCTGTGTGCAGCATTCACTTTACAGCTTCCCGGACTGGCATCTCAGAGCCCCTTACCCTCTCGAGGCATCCATGTAGGGACTACCCCGCCACACCCTGTCTTCGGTGGCTCTCTGAGACTGCAGGAAGACTCTCCAGCCCTTTCCCTCTCGCCTCCTTCATCCAGTACCACGTGGACATGCTTACCTAGTTCCACACAGCCACCTTTTATTCAGTTGCTTTGTAGAAGCAGAAAACTCCTTAGACCTTGTTTCACACCCTGGACGCTGATCTGGGTGGGTCTTGACTGAGGGCATCCTTCTCATTGTCTGTGTGCAGAGCAGGGGCTCTCCTTACCTGATACAGCCCCCCCCCCCAGCACGAGTCTCAACTATAGCATGACGGCAGTACCCAGCTCTGCAACCAACTTCTGTTTTAGTTAACTTTCTGTTGCTGTGATGAAATGCCATGACCAAGGGAGCTAGAAGAAAGTTTATGTGGGTTTACAGCTCCGAAGGGAGAGGAGTCCATCATAGCAGGGAAGCATAGTGGCAGGAGCAGGAAGCTGAGTGCACGTCTGCAGAGGCGGGCGGGCTGCAGAGAGCACACTGGAAGGCAGGCAAGGCTTCAAGTCCATAGCCAGTGATGAGTTCCTCCAGTGAGGCCGCACTAACAGACTACCAAAGCTTCTGGGAGACAGTCTCGTTTAAGCTCCTACAAATGCTGTCTTCAAGCAAGCAGTGTTTAAACTGTCCTTAGTCGATTGTCCCACCATGCTTTGCTTTCCTTGTTGTCTGCCCATCCTGTGCTTCGTAGTCTCTTTAATTCTCAGTAAGGAGAGGTGTGACCCTCTGGTCAGCATCTTTTCACACATCTAAAGAGCATTTGCCGACAAACTACAGGACCCCAAAAGGCATTTCTGTTTCATGTTTTATTATTAGTGTCTCAAAGGCTAGCAGTTGACATCACTTTCCCGTGAAGGACAAGTACTGTTTCTAGAAGTGTTTTCACATGCTCATCCAGGAGGGTGCCTCATCTCTTTAAGGTTTGCTTTAGTAAAAGAATTTCATATTCCCAGCAAGGTCCTGGGTTAGACCAGTGGGAAGTAGAGCCCCAGGAGCTGATAAGGGCAGGTCCGACTCTGACTCCCAAGCTGGTGTCTTACGTTTTTTGAAATCTTAATGATTTCTCCGGATTGGATTCTGGGGTGCATAGCCCAGTCTTGTAAAGTGGTTTGCTTTGCTCCTCAAAAGCCTCTCTGTAATCCAAGCTTATTTCCATGTGCCTGTTCCTCTAGAGTTTGTACATTTGAGACCAGTAACACCCGAACCGCCTTTTTCCATCTCCAGGATGAGAACGTTCCTTTTCCACCGTCATTACCGTGTGCGTTCCGTCACCAGTGTCACTCCTGAGTTCTCACATCCTTGTGCTCTTGTCGTCTCTCACTGGTCCTGGCGCTGTGCGCTGTGTCTGGGGCAGCTCTGGCTGGAACGTGGACAGTGGCAGTGCCCTGACATTAGCTGTCCCCTTCCCGTCCCAACTAACCAAAAGACCCCAGTGCAGTTAGTCTTCCTCTAAATTACTAAGTCATTTAGGCCCATGTCTTGGTTTTATGCACACCTCGGTTTTTCAAAAACTGCTTTTTTTTTTCTTTTAAATTATAGCATGCTGGACTATGACACAGAGAACCTGAACTCTGAAGAGATCTACAGCTCTTTGCGTGGAGTCACAGAAGCCATCGAAAAGTTCAGCTTCCGAAGCCAAGAGGACCTGAATGAGCCAATTAAGCGAGATGGCAAGAAGGATTGTGATATTGTGAGTATCCTGGGCCAGTGGGCAACTGTGTCAGGTAGCCGCAGACTGGAGTCTTTCCCACACTGAACTCCCTGATGACAGTGTCTTCTACTCTGGTGTTAAAATAATAGATAGTAATTTTAGAAGTAATTTTAGAACAACCCCAGTGTGGATCAGCTGCAAGGGTGAAAATGTGACAGGCAGCCTTCCAAAGGGAAGAAGTCTGACCTATGCTAGAACCTAGAAGAATTAAGTGCATAATGCCAAGTGAAATAAGCCTTCTGCAAAGGGACTAGTTTGCTTTTATTTCCTTTGCTTGAGATGTCTAGCATAGACAGATTAGTAGAGAATAGACTCAAGGTTTGTGGGGGCAGGGGGATGTTATTTATTGGGTGTAGGGTTTGAGGGGGGAGGGATAATGAGAAAGACTGGAGTATATGTGATGTTGGTGGTTACACAAAATAGTGAATGTGTATAATGTCACTGAACCGTATGATTATGGATGGTTGAAATGATAGGGTATGTGTATTTACCACAACTTTTAAAAACATATAAACATAGAGAAAGAGTTGTATCTTGTTAGAAGCACAAATACAGTTTTGTGGGAATCACCAGTATGTTCCAGATTCCCGGGACTCATGTCCAGGTGAGGAAACAGGCTGCCCACTGCCAGCACTTAGCCCAGATTTGTCCCCACAGTGCTGTCATGTAGGGGCTGCCCAGGCTAACATGGCCAAGGTGAAGGTCTCATACTGGGTCTTGGTTGCATTTCTAATGCTCTGATAGGACACCTTGCGCAGAAGAAGCTCGAGGAGGAAAAGGTTTGTTTCTGCTCGCAGTTCATGTCACAGTCCGTCCCCAAGGGAAGTCAGGGAAGCCAGCTGGTGCAGAGGCCATGGCGGAGTGCTGCTTACTGACTTATTGTTCATGGCTTGCTCAGCCTGCCTTCTTACAATACTCAGGGCCACCAGCCCAGAGGCGGCACCACCTGCAATGGGCTGGGCACTCCCACATTAATTAAGAAAATTCACCACAGGCTTGCCCGCGGGCCAGTCTTCTAGGGGTATTTTTGTGTTCAGTTGAGGTTCCCTCTTCCCGAATGACTCTAGATTGTGTCAAGTTGGCATAAAACTAGCCAGCAGTGCAAAACTATCAGAAACATGCCAGAGACCCTTGAAAGACCACTGTTAAGGCAGACGTAGGAGAAAACAGTTCAGTACTAGGTATCCAAAGAATGGAAGAGTAGCTGTGGCCTGGGAGACACTTACTATGTCTCTCAAGGTTAAAGATAATTTTAGGATAATCTGGCTAACCCTCATTATTATCTCAAAAAAATTAAAAATCAAGGGGCTGATTTGTGGATATTTAGACTGCTTTAGGCTCTGAGCAGTACTTGAGCTTTCTCCATAGAGGTAACTATTATTAAGGTGTCATTGAGAAGTCCCTACTATTGGCATTAGAGCCAGAGGCCACAGTAGTCTGAAACAGGCTTCTCAAGAATGGGGACAATGAAGGACATACTCCTCCATTTCCAAGGAGTTCTTGAGACTGCATGGTAGTGATCCTTCAGAAGCCTTGTGAGTACAGTGAGTCACCAAATAACAAAGAAAAATAGGCTAAATATATACACAGATGTAGGAGCGTTCTATTCAGATAGAAAACCAATAGCCTGGAGCTGGACAGATGCCTCCATGCTTAAGAGCACTTGCTGTGCTTCCAGAGTTCAGTTCCCAATACCTATATCAGGCAGCTCACAACTACTTGTAACTTCAAAAAGAGCACCCTCATCGGGCCTCTGTGGGTACAGACAGACAGACACACATATATACTTTATTTTAAGTAAAATTAAATTTCAATAGCTGTTGTTTAGTCAGTGGCCAATTTGCAAATGGAAAACCCGGTCCCCTCTAAGAAATCCCTAAGCATCAAAGAAGTATGGGCCGAGTGTGGTAGCACATGCCTTTAATCCTAGCACTGGGAAGACAGCCTGCTATGTGGGTCTCTGAGTTCAAGGCCAGACGGGCCTATATAGTGAATTCCGGGCTAGCCAGAACTACATAGTGAGACCCTGTGGAAAAAAAAAAAAAGAGGCAAAGGAAGGGAAAGAAGAGAGAGAAAGAGGAAAGGAAGGAAGGAGGGATGGAAGACACAAATGAGCAGGTGTGTCAGGAGGTCCCTGAGTGGCTGTGTGCTGTGTTCCAGGTGTCCCGAGATGGGGGAGCAGCCTCACCTGCCACCGAGGGCCGGGGAGGTGGTGAGGTGGAAGGAGGCAGGATGGCTTTGGACAACAAGACCTCCCTGCTCAACACGCAGCCTCCACGTGCCTTCCCGGGGCCACGAGCACGGGAGTATAACCCGTATCCCTACTCGGACACCATCAACACCTACGACAAGACGGCGCTGAAGGAGGCAGTCTTTGACGATGACATGGAGCAGCTCCGAGATGGTCTGTCTGCTTGCCCACCTCTTTATGTCCCCTACACCTTCCCTCTGTCATCAGCTCTGGGATCCAGTCAGACACAAACAGAAACATGGGGTCTGTCTGGTCCATCATTTGCTCAGAACTGCCTATTGAGCCCCTGCTATGTGCTTAGGCCTGAGAAGCCCCCTGTGAGGTGGAGTCTTTGTTTTTACCCTCTGCGAGCCTGCAGTCTATCCATGAACTCCCTGCTACTGGGGCTTTCCTAGAATGCTCCTGAGGGGAGTGGTTGGCCAGGACATGCAGCAGGGCACAGGCATCTAATACTTGCTCTCTGTGAAGACCTTGGCCTACACTGCCCCAGCTCTCTTAGCCATGAAGGTGAGGTCCCAAAGCCATGCACAAGACTTCCTTCTTCCTTTAGCAATGTGGCACCCAGGGTCTTCTCAGGCTGTGCCCTGCTGTGCCAGAGGAAGGAGGCAAGTCATTTGATGGTAGTTACTTGCCTATTTCATGCTTGGTGCTTTGCTGAGATGCATATGCCCATTAGCTCCTGAAATTAGAGACTGTTGTTCTCATTTTACAGGTTTACAAATTTATAAATAGATTCAGAAAGATTAAGATACTTGCCCAAAAAAATAACTTAGGGATGTGTCTGGGGATTTCTTCTGAGTCTCACATCAAGACCAGTATCCAGAGACAGAGAATTGTGGCTCAGGGATTGAGTTGTGCTTAGCTCATGTGAGGCCCTGAATTCAATCTGCACGACCAAAGCAAAAATCCAAGACCAGTGTCCACCAGCAGGTGACCAGTGAGTGACTCTATGGGTTTAATGGTGTTTGTAGCAGCAACTTAAGTGTTTCTTTTCCCACCTCACTGCTTGTATCCACTAGCTTTGTTCTATTGCAATTTCATATGACTTTGCAGCTTGTAGTAAATCTGTTTTGTATAAATAGAGTTAGAGTGGAGAATTATGTAAATTATGATTCTAAATAATTAATAACTGCTTGAGTACTTTCTGTATTCATGGAATGATCAGGTTGTCCTGCTGGGAGGAAAGGAAGGCACACTTCCTGGCATGATTGCTCCAGCCTGTGGGTTACAGACTCAGAATGAGCACACTTTGGAGGGGGCTGCCACATAAGGCAGGAGGCAGGTTCAAGGCACAGAAGGCAGAAGGGCCTGGCGCTGTGCAGAGCTGTGGCAGAAGACAGTTCTGCAGGTGTTCAGCACAGAAGGGGCATCAGTGGTCAGAAAAGAGCCCTGGAACTGTCGTTCCCCTGGATTTGCCGAGTGCCAGTCCTGCTGCCAGCTTGGGGTGGTCAGTGTTTGCTGTGACCCAGGCTTTCTGGAGGAGTGGGTGATTTTTCCTTTGCATGTGGGGTTGTTTCACCACTTCCCCTTATTACTCGTGCCCAGAGAGTGGAGTGTCAGTTCTTTCTTATCCACCACCTGTGCTCTGGAAGCTTGTGGAGAAAGGAGAAGTGGCAAGGGGAAATGGCAAGTGTGCAGGGTCTTGAACTTCCTGTGTGCTCGCCCCCTGATCTCAGAAGCTAAAGAAGTTTGCAAATGTGCCTCAGGAGATTGCTGGTGGTGACTTGCCTCCACAACTGGTTCCCATGCTCCCTGTTGAGAGTGGAGTTTTCAGGGTTGAGGGTTCTCAGTGATCATGGACAGGGCGAGAGGGACCTTCAAGCCATCTGATGTAGTTCAGACCCTGCTGGTACCCATGCAAGTAGAGGTGAGCAAGCTTTCCAGTCTTTGGATGGCATCCATTCCAGTCACTTTGATTGGCATCAGTACTGTGTTGGTTCCCAAGCCCTGCACATCCAAGAATGGAACAGATACTAGTTAATGTGATAGTCTTGAGGGAATGCTTGTGATTGGAATGGAACAGATATTAGTCAGTAAGAGGATGGGAGGGCCTTGGGGGAATCCAATTTGTTTACGGAATGGGTCTCCTACCAGCAGGAGGCTGTCCAGTAGAAAGCCTGACTCAAGACTGTGGTAGTAGAAGAGAGTTTGGGAAAAGATGGGTCTTAAGCACTTGGATTTTTCTTTAACCTCAGTGTAAAACTAGAAAGGGGAGGATGGTAAGAAGGGAGGACACACAGGACACTGGTGTGGGCAGCTGGCCTGGCACTCTGTTCTCACAGCATGGTAAGAACGTCAGGAGTACACAGGGGAGGCTGGCAGCCAGACAGGGCAGAGTAGGAGGGGAACGCATAGCACCCATCACTCAGAGTCATGGTAGGAAAGAACATGGCAGGAACCTGAGGCCCACACCTCCTGAGGTTGCACATGTGTCTCCCCAGTGCCCATTGACCACTCGGACCTGGTGGCTGACTTGCTGAAAGAGCTGTCCAACCACAACGAGCGTGTGGAGGAGCGCAAGGGTGCGCTGCTGGAGCTGCTCAAGATCACCAGGGAGGACAGCCTGGGCGTGTGGGAGGAGCACTTCAAGACCATCCTGCTGCTGCTGCTGGAAACTCTAGGGGACAAGGATGTAAGCACTCGCACTGCCCCTTCTGCATGATGCCTTTCCTGAGCAGGGCTGATAGCTCTCCTTTGTGGCGTCTGCGCCTGACTTCTGTGCAGACCCCAGTCTCCCTGTCACTGGGTGTACCCTTCCTGAACCTAGATCCTTTAACACAGGAGTTTGCCCAGACCCATTAGTGTAGACGATAGCCTTCCAGATTTCATCTCCATCTCATGTGAAATAAGGTAACAGAGAAGTTTATTTCTACATTCTTTAACTAATTTGGCAGGTGATGGTGGTGCACACCTTTAATCCCAGCTCTTGGGAGGCAGAGGCAGGTGGAGCTCTGTTAGTTTGAAGCCAGCCTGATCTACAGAGCGAGTTCCAGGGCACTAAGGGCTAAACAGAGAAACTCTGTCTCAGAAAACAAAAAAACAACAACAACAAAAACAAAAAACCCCAAAACCTAATTTATGTGGTCACACAGGTTAGAAGACAACTTTTAGGGGTCACTTCTTTCCTGCCTCCATGTGAGGTTTTGGGATTAAACTCAGGTCATTGAGCCCTCTTGCCCATCCAGAGTTTATTTTTTAAAAGGCCTTATTAAGTGTTGCATTTCATGCAATTCCATCTTGATTCACCCTGTGCCTGTGTTAGAGCTAATGTTAGCATGGCAGATAGCAGGTTCCCATGGTGTATTCGTGGTTATAAAACAAAACCTTCATGCTGGCACATTTGAATGTGACAGACCAGACTTTGTAGCATGCCTGGGCTGTGACTATCCCTGATATACTTAGTTGCTAACATAAGTGGAGGTGAGTACAGTTGGGGGAAGTGATCCAGTCCCAATCTTGCCTCCTACCTGTGGAGCAGGCCTGTGACACAGAATTGGGAGGGAACAGCTGGGATTAAGTTTCCTAAGCAATGGTCCATCTTTCCACATTGGTTTTGCATGGCCTAACAGACACAGCTGGAGCCCAGGGCTGGGAGGAGTTCCAAGAAGCTAGCACAGTGTGAGGTCATAGGCCAGACCCAGGGTCACAGAGGTGGTGACTGGTGGCAGCAGGGAGTGGGGGAAGGAGAAGCAGTAAATGCTGCCCTGGAATTGTTTTCTGACTCTCAGGGTCAAAGGTCTGGTTTAGGGGTAAGTAAAGATTAGGAATGTTAACAAAAGGTCCACACTAACTTTTCTTCAAAGTCCTGCTGCCTATGGAGGCAGTTACACTTGGCTGAGCTCTGCGGGGAGATGGGGTGATGTCACACGGAGGGCAGGTGCTTTCTGTGTGCGTTTGCACAGTGCACAGTTGAGTGACAAGGAATCAGGATGTGCTTCTTGGCTCTGTTTGCAGTAAACTCCGCTCTCTCTTCTTGAGATTAGGCGTCTGTTTGGAATGGCTTTTCTCCAGACACATGACTTGGGCCTTAACAGCTTGAGGCCTGTTGCATGGGTGACCTCATCACCCAGAAGGTCAGGAACAGACGCAGGTCTCCAGCAGACCTCAGAGAGTTCACAGCCTGGCAGGCCCTGTCCATGGCAGGGTCCCTGCGCGTGTCTCACAGAAAGGTGACTCAGGAACCCAAGCTTCCATTAAGTCTCGAACGTCTAGAGAACTAACCTTGAACTTAGGTGTGCCAGTCATTTGGTCTGCAGTACAGGGTTCATTCTAGAAGCCTTTGCCAACCTCTCCGTGTGGTGGGTCCTGAAGACGACACCATCATCAGTGCCTACCCTCTTGAGGTTGACTGTCTAGGACACACGTGTTGAGTAGACTTTTGTCATCCATGGAGAGGGGCCCATAAGAGGCCAGGCCACCTGGAACAGGTTTAGCCTGTGGGCCCAGGGCCTGAACAGGGCATGTACTGTTTGGTGACATTTCTTTCCCCCCACACCTAGCACTCCATCCGAGCTCTGGCACTGAGAGTTTTACGGGAGATTCTGAGAAACCAACCAGCAAGATTCAAAAACTACGCAGAACTGACTATCATGAAGACCCTGGAAGCCCACAAAGACTCCCACAAAGAGGTTGGTTAGCCCTGTGACCATGCACAACAGGACTGGGTGGAGGAGGGCAGAACCCAAAACGAATGTTGAAGCTTATGAGCCTTTCCCTACTGAACTGGCCTGGGTTGTATGGAGTAAGATTCCTACTGCTGACATCAGAGCTGAGGAACTGCATGTCTAAAATGCTTACAAAGTGCCCCCGTGGTTCCCAGGTCCCAGCATCTCCACTGCCCTCTTACAAAGTGCCCCTGTGGTTCCCAGGTCCCAGCATCTCCACTGCACTCATGAGAGCAGGCAGGCTACATCTCTGTGCCTCGTACGTGTGGTATAGATGATGGGCTCTCAGCAGTCACTGGCCAGTTACTTGGTGGTGTGTTGAGCCCCTGTGATTCCCTACTCTGTGGATAGGCTAGAGACCTACAGAGTCTAAGGAGCTGTCCTCAAAAAGTGAGTCCAGGGCTGGATACATGGCCTAATTACTTGGGCAAATGTCTGTTATACAAGGATGAGTATCTAAGCCATCTCCAGAATCCACATTAAAAGCAGATAACCCAGTACTGGGTAGAAGGAGTCAGGTATATCCGTGGCATTGCTAGCCTACTCAGAAAACTGGAGCAAACGAGACCCTATCTCAGGAAAGAGGGAGGAGGGGAGAAAAGATGGACAGCTCATGAGGATTGACATCAGAGATGGCCCTCTGACCTGTGTGCACTCGCACACAAGCAAGTCCATTAACAACCTCCATCAACAGACAGGCGGAAACCAGAATGGTGGACTTAGAACTGGAGCAAACTCAAGATGGCAAAGAGTAGGTATAAGCCCACCAAGCCGTGACTGCTTGTCCAGTGCAGCCTCTTGGTTCTGCTTAACTATTGTGAGAATGCTCGTGGATGAGGACTTAAGTAGGGCAGTTCTTATACCAGCAAGGGAATGAGACCCTGAGGGTAGTTTTCCTCCTGGCCATGGTTTGGCTGCTTGGGCCTTTGCTGCTTTGACCTCCTCAGATTGTCATCTGGAGGAGGAGTCTCTGTCTCTCTGCTGGAGCCGTATAGTCCACAGCATAGAGACTCTAGGAACATTTCCAACAAGGGACTGAGTCTCTAAAACCTGGCTTGGTGGCATGATGGTGACACTCATGTTTGAACAGAAGATGCTCCCCTTACAACAGCTCACTTGAGCATGTAAAGCAGGCAGGCTCATATGGTCAACTTCATTGTTCCCAGGTGAAGAAGAGAGGGCCCAAAAAGCCTGCCCAGTAGTTCAGAGCAGAACAAGTATGGACCAGGCTTTGGGTCTCTTAGGAGGAACAAACCATCTTGCAACAACTTTGTTTTCTGAATAGCTTGTCCTTAGAATCAATGATGAAAAATTGAAGTGAACTAGGATTCAGGTGTGTCCAACCAGCAGTTTGGATTCCAGACTGGCTATAAATGCAGTGGAATTCACACAAAATTGTAAGCTTACTTAAAAGACTGGAAGAGGTACGTACACGAGTGTGTACGTGCGTGCGTGCGTGCGTGCGTGCGTGCATGCGTGTGTGTGATATTTTTCTTTAGTTGTACTATGTTCTGTGTATACACGTATATGATGCACATGTTGGAGACAGAGTACAGTTAATTGGAAATCAGTTCCTTTCTCATGTAGAACCCAGTGGTTCAAACTCAGGCCATCAAGCTTCAGCAAGCACCTTTACCTGCTGGACCTCAGTCTTCTTTAAAGCTCAGCTGTGCCATTCTCAAGCATGCGCTTTGTAGATAGCAGTGTTAAATAGGCCAATGTCAAAAAGTTGGCCACACCTGGCAGGTGGTAGTGGCTAATTTGGTGACAAAAGACAGGCTTGAAATGAGATTAAAGTGAGCTAAAGGGACTGGAAAAAAATGGCTCTGTGGTTAAGGGACTTGGCTGCTCTTCCAGATGACACAGGTTAGACCCGCAGCATCTATACGACAGCTCTCAACCATCTTCAATTTCTGTGCCAGGGGATCTGTGACCCTCTTCTGGCCTGTGGGCCCCAGGCATGGCGTGGTCTACATGCATATGTGCAGGCAAAATACCATACACGTATTTTTTATTTATTATTGAACATTTAATTAACTAAGCTAATGTGGTGTTTGAGTACTTACTATCCAGATAGCAGCTATCTCTTTAAACTGGACTTCCAGTTTAAATATTGAAAACCTTTACAGTGGACTCTTAAATAAAAGTTAAAATTCACTATTTTATTTTTCTTTTCCTTGAACATGGTTTAGTAAGTGTGAGGTTCTCTTAAACTGCCCAGGAAAAGCGTGACAAGATCTCCTGGTTCAGATACGTTTCTCAGTCCTCTGTCAGCATGGGAGTCCTGTAACCAGCAGGTGCCACACTGCCATCACAGTGACCCGAGGGTGCCAGCGGGACATAGTGTTCTGAGGTCTGTTGGCAGGCTCTCTCTGCTTTGCATGTCTGGGCTCACCTTGATCTATGCCCTTGCCACTTCCTCCTGCAGCTCAGACTGCTACATGCCCAGGAGCGGCTCAGGAGCACCTGTATGTTTAGGTTTGGGGTTTGGTTTTTATTTTTCTTGAAAATTCTTCAAGTCTCTCTCTTCTCTCTCTTCTCTCTCTCTCTCTCTCTCTCTCTCTCTCTCTCTCTCTCTCTCTTTCTCTGTCTGTCTGTCTGTCTGACACATGTGTGCACACATACATGTGTAGGCAAGTCAGCCTTGGGTGTCCTCAAGTACTGTCTCCCTTTAATTTTGAGGCAGAATCTCTCACTGACCTGGAACTTGACCAGTAGTCTATGCTGTCTGACAAGAGACGAGAACCCCAGGGATCTGCCTGCCATCGTCTCCCTAGTCCTGTGACTGGAAGGGCCACTGCACCCAGTTGTTTATTATTATTATTATCATTTATTTATTTGGTTTTTCAAGACAGGGTTTCTCTGTGGCTTTGGAGCCTGTCCTGGAACTAGCTCTTGTAGACCAGGCTGGCCTTGAACTCAGAGAGATCCGCCTGCCTCTGCCTCCCGAGTGCTGGGATTAAAGGTGTGCGCCACCACCGCCCAGCTATTATTTTATTTTCAATGAGTGTGTATGCATGTGGGTGTGCTCGTGTCGCTGGGTACGTGAAGGTGGAGGTCTGGGACAGTTTCAGAAGTCACCTCTCTCCTTTCCCTCTGGGCTCCAGGCATCAAACTCAGGCCACTGAGGTTGTCCAGCAAGTGTCTTTACTTGCTGGGGCCGTCCTGCCAGCCTGGCCTGTATGTGGGTTCTGGAGATTGAAGTTAAGTCCTGTGCGAGGTGTTACCAACTCAGGACCCCACACACACACTCTTTTTAACCAACCTGTGTCTATCCCTGGTCTCTGGTTCTCAGGGTTCTCTGAGATAGTTAGCTGAACATGCAGTTCCTGTGGTGGCCGTGCTGGTGGCTTCATTTTTGTCTATTGTATTTTCTTACATTTAGTACTTAGGACTCCAGCCATGCTTAGATGGGATCAATGGTGCTTGTAGGTTTCTGTGTCCATCATCCAAAGGCAAAGTCTGTTTTCCTGTCTTATCAACACTTCCAAAGTGTGCACATCCCAAGGGGCCTCTCTTAGAACTACTCTATCCTAAAAATGGAAGTGGTTTTACCTTCTCCAACAAAGCCCAGGCCTTCGTAGGAGATGAACACGCATCCTGACTGGCTCACACAGAACTGCTTCAAAAAATAGAACACCAGCCGTCTTCCCTGTCACCTGTCGATGTAAGGCAGAGACCGGAGAATTTCTGTAAGCTCACAAGCCAGTTAAGCTAGCTCACACAACAGCAAGCTTAAGAGAAACCCTGATGGGAACAAGGTGGGAGGTGGGAATGATGCCTGGAAGTTGTCCTCAAGCTCCCCGTGTTCACTGTGACACACACACACACACACACACACACACACACACACAAGTGGGGGGATGGACAGAGAGACAGAGAGGCAGAGCAACACACACACAGTGCTTATGTATTAGTGTTTAAGGTGGGGTTGCTGGAGAGATGGCTCAGTAGTCAAGAATACTTGCTGCTCTTGCTGTAGGGGACTGAGTTTCTTTCTCAGCATCCATACAACCATCAGTAGCCCCAGTTCCAGGGGATCCGATGGCTTCTTCTGCTGAGGATACTGCATACATATGGTGCACATATATACCTGTGGGCAAAATGTTCATACACATACTTTTTTAAGATTTAAGAAAAGGTTGCTATTCAAAATTGGAAAGGTAGGACTGGTGGCAAGATGGCTGGTTTCCTTACCGTGAGCCGAAGTCAGCTGTCATAGGTTCTTCCTGAAAGAGCTGTGAGAGCCAAACTTGTTTCTGACACACACACTAAAAATGCAGGTAGTAACTTCTGAAAGCCACCATCCACAGCTAATGGCAAACTGCAGAGACCAGACAAATGGGTTCAGAGCCCAGCTTACAGCTGCGTTTTAAAGGCTGGTGTTGGTCATCTTAGACATAATCCTTTCATAGTCCTATCTGAGTAGGGCATTCTCTGCCAGGATTTCAGCTGTCTATGTAGTAGATACTGCTGAGTTGTTGTACCTGTAACATCCGTGGAGTTCCTGTGTGTTGTGTTGGTGTTTGCATTCAGCAAACATCTTAAATGCCCGAGCTTGGTGCAATGGGCTCTATGATAATTTCATTCATGTGAACACTCTTCTCCTTTACATCTTTAATCTGTTTGTGGGAGCTGACTGAGAATCTCTTCTTTGACAGTCAGTGAGGGTTTCGTAAGAGAACTAACAGCCAGGCATGCTTCTGAGGCCAATGTCTCCTTCTCCAAGAATAGGTAGGACCCATTCTTTCCTATACAACCTGCATATACAGGACCATTTGCGAGACTGGGGGCATAAAGACAGAGCAGTCTGTCTGTCTGGATATTTTGTTTTGAGCAGCTTCTGTTCAAACATGAGTGTCACCGTCATGCCACCAAGCCAGGTTTTAGAGACTCAGTCCCTTGTTGGAAATGTTCCTAGAGCCTATATGCTGTGGACTATACGGCTCCAGCAGAGAGACAGA